TGAATACTGTAAAATATATTTTTTATATATTATTTCCGGTTGGAATTTATTTTCGCTATTTTCACTGAAGGAATGATTCAGTGAAAATACAATCCAGTGAATATACCTTTTTTCTTATATTTTACATTCAATTCATCAAAAATCAGTGAAAATAAATTCCATACAAAACACCCAAAAATTCTTTTCAGCGAAAATTAATTCCAGCTAAAATGAAGTATTTTACAGCCAATAAAATTGATAACTAGAAGTTAAAAGTATCAGTTAAACAATTACAAAAATATTCACCAAAATCAGAGAATTAAAGATATCATCACGAAATGAACAAATCTGATAGAGGTCCACATGTAGTACCTATATATGTAATATCAAAGCAATTTGAATTTTGGTTTTTAACAAGTTGAAAATATCACTTTTTCCAAAAATGACAAATATATTCATCAAAATTAGAGAATTGAAGATATCATCATGAAATGAACAAATCTAAGAGAGGCCTACCCAAGGTACATATACACCAAGTATCTCAGTCTTGTAGTTTTTAAGAAGACGACGAAAAAGTAAAACATTGACACGGATGACGATAGACAATCACTCATATGATAAGCTCTGCTCGACAAAGTCGACAGCGGAGTTAAAAATAAACAAATCAAAAATATAACAAGCCTGGCTAGTACCTGGCTGTTGAATGTGACACATGAAAGCAATCTAGCTTACAAAAACCGTCAATCGTTAAATATTCTGCTTGGTCATCGTTTTGCCAAAAACGTGAGAATGAATGAATAACATGTGATATAAGAAATATATGTTGATGAAATACAAGTTATGACACGTAATAAATTGTAAATATCATTCAATCAATCAATCAATATATAATGTCATACAAAGATTTTAAAATCAAGTAAACATTTTTCGACATTCATATAATATTTTTTTCACATAATACAAATAGACAAATATATATATATACATATTAATTCAGTACTACAGGCCACCGCCATAAATAAGCACAATCTAAAGTATACAATAGAGAATAACTACAATACAGTAATATTATATGCATAAGTCAGGTAATCTCACAGTGAGTGGGGGGGGGGGGGGAGTGGAGCATTCAAACCTCAGAGGTATTACAGATTATTCTTGAATTACTAACAAACGTGATGTCAAAAAATAACGATAGGCATGTAACCCTGGAAAAAGTCAGTGGCATATTTGGAACCGTTTTTAAAGATAGTGGAGTGAGTGTGTGTGGGTGGGTAAAAAAGTGGGCAGCTGGAATAACTATATACGACAGTTGAGAAATGTGCATTATCAGTTGAAAAAGATGAAATATGAAATTATTACGCTATAGCCAAAAATAATTTGCATGTTTGTTTTTCTTGCTTAGGCCATGGAAGGTCCTAAGGGAAGGAACCACGATGCTATTGTTTTAGCTTTACCCCATGATAGTTTGTCAATGTTTGTTCACAAACATTGTTCTTGTTAGCTCTTAACACCTTCGTACAATGGGTTACGCTAATCTCGAGCATTCAGAGCATGTTCAGTAGCAATAGACGGACTGCGCATGCACAAGACTGAAAATGACGTCTAGTTGGAATGTTATTGTTTTCGGAGATCTTGGTGAATTTTAATGAAAAATAGGCAGATAAAACATCGATTGAAGAAGAACTGATGAACTATCGTGAATCTTTTTGTATTTGTAATGGTGATGAGACGTAATCAATGATTGTCTGTGACAATAACGATTGCATTATTCAATGGTACCATCATCAGTGCGTGGGTTTGACACCTGAAACTGTTTGAAATTTTCCACCACCGGGCATCGACGAACACCATCAGAAAAGATAGTATCGAAAGAAGGGCCATCGTCTAAATCGCACGGTCCCGTGTCTTCGACTAGTTGAAAGAGGATGACAGTTTTCTTTGAGGGGATTTTTTACATTGTGAGTTGGAAACATCGATTATCAGTGTACTGCAACTTGTTTAGACGTTTAGAATGTTTGAAATCTGTCCTACTTTTCGGATACCCTTATACAGATTTTCTTCATACTATTCCTATCAATGTTATCAATTTTTGCTTTTGAAAAATGGTGCTTTTGGAACTCAAACGTTTAATTCCTGTGATTGTGTTTCAATGACAAATTTGCTGCCACTTGTTTCGGTAAAAACCTTAATGGATTTAAGGGAACATGTCTATATACATGTGTATACAATGCAAAACTAACATGTGACAGGCACTGTGCCAAATGTTGTAAAACAAAACAAGTACATGTAAGCTTAGAAAGAACTCCTATGTGCTGAGATTATTGGAGACATTTTAAAAGTTAATTCAAACAAGAAGCTTGGCAACTAATATTTGTCTGCTATTTGAGATGCACAACATGTATCGTTGGAGCCCACACATGTTTTAGTTTGTGTTAGAACTTTACGATTACATCATTGTTACATTTAGCTACAATGTTATAGCGTTCAGCAAGGTTTACTGATCAAATTTTGTTACTATTACAATCTGTCATTTTTGCTGGTTGTGCCACCATCTTGTTATCTCTTGGTGTGTTCAGAATAAAACTATCGAATGGTTAACTGATTCTTACCCCAGACTCTGGAGGTTGTAATGTTCCGCCCACAAACAGTCCAGTCTGACTGCTATCGATACTGAGTTCCGCCCACTTACTAATTAAATGCATGCAACCTTTGCACTTTGAACAATAGCCAATCACACGCGACTTTTGACGTAGTTATTAATAAACAACTGAATATATTAACTAACCATATATGGGAGATGGCGGTAAAATTAACGTTGATCATGTTGTTGTTTTTATCCCAGTTTCTCCAGCGCTGTCATCGATCATATGTGGTTGAGTTCATTTGAGAGTTATTTTTTGTCGGAGTTTGTGTCGTACGGTTTTCTACCATGATCTGGATTTAGTTCATCGACAAACTTGTTTGAAGTTTCTCGTGTCAGACTGGAGTTATTTCATGGACCAGCGTAATTAATCGCGTACATTTGATATTATTTTGCTTTTATCGTTATTAATTTGCTCTTGTGATATTCTTGAAGAAACACGAAATCATGGTTTCGGCGGATTGTCACCGATTTTGTCAAAGGAAATTGATCAGATGTTGCAAAACAGACACATGATTACGTCAAATCGCACCTCTTCTCAGCGATGTTGACACCGGAAAAAACAGGTCACGGCAGTTTACAATCCCTTCCAATTGTCGTTAACTATTCATCTTTGAGAGATGGCACACGTTATGAACAGTTACACACAACAGTCTAAGCCGAGACGCACACTGACACCGAGAACTGAAAATGGCGCCAGTCAGGTGATTTTGATTACGACATTTGCTATAAATAGAGTGGGCGTTTGATTGACACTTGAGTCACCCAATTAGCGCTGCATCTATTTTATGAACGGCGCACTCAGTTCCAGTAGCAGTCAGACTGGAGTGTTGTTTCTGTAGCATTATCCCACCGGGTGGGTGAAACATTACAACCTCCAGCGCCTGGGGTAACTAATTTTCGTGACTGAGTGATATTCCTGAATCAACCGTAGACGTTTCTAAATAGATTGTGGCTATCCCCACAACATGAAAACAATTATGAAAACAAATCCACATTATTGAAGATTATTGTACTTTTATACATAAAATAAATTTGTTTTAACATCTGTTGTTTTCTGGGCACATAATATGTACCAAGTTTCATTATAACGTGATGATTATTTTTTAAAAAAAGAAATGTGTGGAAAGACGAAATGTAAATTATTATGCAAATTAGGTAATTATAAACCCAAAACCCAGAATGTAGCATTGTCTTAGAATATTTATGCAAGAATCATTGAATTACGATGATTAGTACTTCAGATATTGATGGAAAGGCTGAAAACTGATGAATTATTATGTAAATCAGGTAATCAATATGCATAGATTTTAATGTAAAACAAAAAAAGTCTGTGCCTGTGCATTGGAAATGTCTAAAATTGATTATGTAATTAATATGCAAGCAATTCAAATCAAAACTAATCAGGCTGGTGTATTGTCCCAGAGCATCTATGTACCAAGTTTCATTTACACATAACGATTGTTTTTAGGAATAATGGGCCGAAAGTTTCTCTGCTGGCAAGTGATCACTCACCTAAAAATAGAAGGTCACTAAATGCTAAATGCTCAACACGAAATACACATATAAATCAAATGCAATATGGTAGGTAAAGTGATAAATATTGCTTGTGTGCAGGATTGATACTGTATCAACACATAAAGCCTTTGGTCCCACCGCTGCCACCATATGTAAACTGAGAACAGACTTCTCAAAGTAGAATGAACCAAGTGAGTATTGGTCACCAAATCCGGCTGAGTATAAACACACTGAAGAGGAGCACTTGTAGCCAAGGTGTTTATTGCCCAACTGCTAGGCCTGGAACTGAGTCTAAATACTCACGAGATGTTCCATACAATGTATCAATATCATTATGCAAATAACTAAACTAAACGTCATAGCCTCAAATCATTACATACTGTATCAACACTTAAAGCCTTTGGTTTCAGAAATTTTATATTTTCTATATTTATCTACTTCACCTGTACTGGGTTGTGATCAGCTTAATAAAAACATTTCTGTTTTTTTTAGCCTTCCTTAGGCAAATGGGTAGTTCTGGTATCAATGTCACTCTTTAAAACATCACAGTTGCTGGTATACCTAATTTTATATAAAGCAACAGTGTACAAATTTTTATTCATTCATCCATTGTATCCATGGAAACTATATATTGAACAGAGCATGTAAGCATCACCTGTTCTCAAAAACCTGTTGCATTTTACATCCGGATGTATGGAACTGTATTAGAAGCAAATCTCCAATAGAAACACAAATAACAAAACTGTATTTATTGTATGCCATAATTTGACTTATTTCAACCATAGATGCACCTCTTTTGTCATTTATCTGAGTGGATGTTGCTACTAAATGGGTTAAAAAAAGGGCTATATTTTACCCAAATTTCAGGGGTAAATATGAGCAGTGTTATTAATGGGGCGTGGAAGGAAAATCAATGACTACAACAGAACTATATAAAATATGGACAACCATGCTTCAGGAAAGTCAAAGCGTAGTCCATTCTATGCAAAGTGACAACAGAAACTGTTGTTGATGGATGATTAAGTTCTGTTTGTTTCTTTTTCCTTAACACAGTCAGCTTTTATTCATTGCCCACATAAAAAAAAAACTCCATCTTTTTATCACCAGAAAATAAGAACAAAATCTTCTTATAGCCAATAGGAATTCAGTCATTTTGGCAATTTACAAGTAGTCATAAATTATAAACGTAAAAAATGTAAAAAGATGTTGCAACAAAATTTGGGGGAGGGGGGTCATAGCTACATATTGAGGTGAAATTATGTTAACCTATTCATTTCATTTTCAACATGAACTCCAAGCAGGTACAATGTAATAATTTTGTCTTATTTGTTGAAATGTATATTAATCATCTATTCTAATAACTGGAATACAACATTAATGTTCTTGTTCTGATATGTATTTTGAGGATTCTAGATACTTTTATATGGAAATTATGGATAAGTGCATTTCATTTGTTCCACTGTGATAATTTTTGCAAGACAACAGCTTAATATCCAGGAGACCGGCACTCCAACATGAAATTAGGATAAACTTAATAGAATAAAAGAATGGGTTTATTTTTGAAAAGTAAATACTGGATAATCAAACTAAACTGAATCTATTTCTTCATATTATTACTTGCAGTTGGTTCACAAATTGAACTTGCAAGAACAATCAAAAGGAATGTTGGTGAACCTAAAATAAATTTTAATTTTCGGTATCCTTATGGTATGAATGAACATTACATATAATCTTTAATTCAAACCTCCTCAAAAAAAAAATTGTCAAACTTACCCCTCCTGCTTTGATCAATTTACGACGGAAATCTTCAGTGGGGTTATTAAATGTTAGTTTCTCGCATCTGATGTGGTTGACAGGTGGGCAGCCTTCAAGATGCAAGAAAAGATCATACTCAAAACGCACTTTCTTTGGTTCTTCTTTATTTTTGAAGTACACTTCAATCGGCAGCGTGAATCCGGCGTAGCCAGACTCAGCAACTTGATATGGTGGTTCTTTGACAACTGTGGATACAAACATGGATGTAGGTTGGTGAAATAAACTGTTCATTATTTACACGTGTCACTTCCTGATAGAAGTAAGAAATAATTTTTCAATTCCTCTAAGCTTTGACATATACGATTCAAAACATGCTGTCAAGCTATCACAATCCATGACGACTTTGTTTGAAGGATTGAAGAACATAAACATACAAACAAATACAAATTATGACTATGATTCAACACTACATGGTTCTCTCACTTCTAGTTTCACATCTCTACACCCCTATGATTGTTTAGCAATTTAAATCCATGCATTTAACCTTTAACCAAAATAAATAAATTTGGTGAAAGGTGACAACTTGACTATGCTTGAGGAAAAACAAACATTTTTTTGTAGTTTTCCATTTCCAGAAATTAATATTTATAGTTGAGAAAAATGCATTATTTTCGCTTGGAATTAATTTTCGCTGAAGGAATGCTTCATTGAAAATAAAATCCAGTTGTCAAAAATCAGTGAAAATAAATTCCATACAAAACACCCAAATTATCTTTTCAGCGAAAATTAATCCCAGCTAAAATAAAGTATTTTACAGTACTAGATTTAGGAGGTTGTAATACTTATG